AAAATCGAAAAATCGAGAAATCGAAACATTCAAAAACGGAAACATCGTGAAATCAAGAAATCAAAAATTCGAGAACTTGAAAAATCAAAAAATAGAGAACTCGAAATAGGCAAAAATAAAAAAATCGGAAAGTTAAAAATTGAAAAATTTGAAATTAAAGAAATTCATAATACGAAAAATTCAAAATGGAGAAATTGAACGATCAAAATATCGGAACAACGGAATCTCGATAAAACGAGAAATCCAAAAATTGAAAAGTCAAATACTGAAAAATCGAAAAATGGAGCAATGGAAAAATTTAAAAAACTAAAATCAAGAAGTCGAAAATTCGGAGGATCAATAAATCAACAAAAAACTGAAAAATCTAAAATTTAAAATATTGAAAAATTTTAAAAATCAATAAATTGGAAGCTCGAAATAAGCCAAAATCAAAAAATCAGAAAGTTAAAAAATAAAAAAAATAAATAAAAAAATTTGAAATAAAAAAAAAATGATAAAACGTGAATTCAAAAATCGAGAAATTGAACGATCAAAATACCGAAACATCCGAATCTCGATAACTTGAGAAAATGAAAAATTGAAAAAACGGAAACTGAAAAATCGATAAATTTAAAAATTCGAAAAATTGAAATATCAAAAAATCGAAAAATCGATCCATCAAAAAATCTAAAAATTGAAAAACCGAAAAATCGAGAAGTTGAAAAATCAGTAAATTGAGAACTCGAAATTGGCCAAAATCAAAAAATTGAAAAGTTAAAAATTGAAAAATTGAAAAATCGAAGAACAAAAAAATAAAGAAAATCAGAACACGAGAATTGAAAAAATCCAAAATTTTAATAATTGGGAAATTAAAATGTAGAAAAATTGAAAAATCGAGAAATCGAACATCAAATATTCGAAAAATCCAAAAAAGGGAGAAATTGAGAAATCAAAATTCCAGCATTTAAACCATCGCAAATTTTGAAAAATCGAAAAATTGAATAATTGGAAGACTGAGAAATCGGGAACTTGAATAATTACAAAACTCTAATGACGAAAAATTGGGAAATCAAAATATTGAAAAATCGAAACATGGAAAAATTGGAAAACCAAAAAATCGAAAAATCGAGAAATGGAAACATTCAAAAACGGAAACATTGTGAAATCGAGAAATCAAAAATTCGAGAAGTTGAAAAATCAAAAAAAAAAGAACTCGAAATAGGCAAAATCAAAAAATCGGAAAGTTCAGAATTGAAAAAGTGAAAAATTTGAAATTAAAAAAAAATCATAATAGTACGAAAAAATCAAAATGGAGAAATTGAACGATCAAAATATCGAAACAACGGAATCTGGAGAAAACGAGAAATCGATAAATGGAAAAATCAAAAACTGAAAAATCGAAAAATGGAGCAACGGAAAAATTTAAAAAACTAAAATCGAGGAGTCGAAAAATTGGAGGATCAATAAATCAACAAAAAACTGAAAAATCTAAAATTTAAAATATTGAACAAATTGAAAAATCGATAAAGTGAAAGCTCGAAATAAGTCCAAATCAAAAAATCGAAAAGTTAAAAATAAAAAATTAAAAAATTTGAAATTAAAGAAAATGTTAAAACGAAAAATTCAAAAATCGTGAAATTGAACGATCAAAATACCGAAACATCGGAATCTCGACAAATCGAGAAAATGAAGAATTGAAAAATCAAAAACTGAAAAATCGATAAATTTAAAAATTCGAAAAATTGAAAAAACGAAACATCAAAACTGAAAAATCGAAAAATTTTTAAACCGAAATATTGAAAAATCTAAAAATTCAAAAATTCGAAAAATTGAAAAATTAAAATATCTAAAAATCGATACGTCAAACCGAAAAATTGAAAAACTAAAAAATCGAAATCTCGAAAAGTCGTGAAGTTAGAAAAATTTGAAATAAAATGTCAATAAAAAATTCAGTAATCGAGAAATTGAACGATCAAAATATGAAAACATCGAAATCTCAATAAATCGAGAAATCGAAAAATTTAAAAATTAAAAACTGAAAAATCAAATATTTTTTGAATCGAAAAATTGAAAAACTGAGAAATTCCAAATTAAAAAAAATTGATAATATGAAAAATTCAAAAATCGAGAAATTGACGGTCAACATATTGAAACATCGGAATCTCGATAAATCGACAAATTGAAAAATTGTAAAAATCAAAAACTGAAAAATTGAAAAATTTTAATATCGAACAATGAAAAGTCAAAAAATTTAAATTTTCTGAATCGAAAAATTGAAAAATCAAAACAACAAAAAACTGAAAAATTGAGAAATGGAAAAATTTTAAAAACTAAAATCGAAAAGTCGAAAAATCGAAGGATCAATAAATCAACAAAAAACTGAAAAATCTAAAATTTAAAATATTGAAAAAATTTAAAAATCAATAAATTGAAAGCTCGAAATAAGCCAAAATCAAAAAATCAAAAAGGCAAAAAATAAAAAATTGAAAAATTTGAGATTAAAAAAAATGATATAGCGAAAAATTCAAAAATCGAGAAATTGAACGATCAAAATACCGAAACATCGGAATCTCGATAAATCGAGAAAATGAAAAATTGAAAAATCAAAAACTGAAAAATCGATAAATTTAAAAATTCGAAAAATTGAAATATCGAAAAATCGAATAATTGAAAAACTGAAAAATCGAGAAGTTGAAAAATCAGTAAATTGAGAACTCGAAATTGGCCAAAATGAAAAAATCGAAAAGTAAAAAATTGAAAAATTGAAAAATTTGAAATTCAAAAAAATGATAAGACGAAAAATCCAAAAATTGAGAAATTGAACTATCAAGATATGGAAACATCGAAATCTCGATATATCGAAAAAAAAAACTGAAAAATTGAAAAATTCGAAAAATTGAAAAAATGAAAAATCAAAAACTGAAAAATCGAAAAATTTTAATACCGAAAAATTGAAAAAATGAAAAATCAAAAACTGAAAAATCGAAAAATTTTAATACCGAAAAATTGACAAATCTAAAGATTCAAAAATTCGAAAATTTGAAAATTTAAAATATCGAAAAATTGATACGTCAAAAAACCGAAAAATTGAAAAACTAAAAAATCAAAATCTACAAAAGTCGGGAAGTTAAAAATTGAAAAACTTGGAATTAAAAAAAAATGTCAATGAAAAGTCCAGTAATGGAGAAATTGAACGATCAAAATATGAAAACATCGCAATCTCAGTAAATCGAGAAATCGATAAATTGAAAAATCAAAAAATCTAAAATCGAGAAGTCGAAAAATCAGAACAGCGGTAAATCAAAATAATAAAAAACTAAAATCATATAGTCGAGATTAAAACATCAAAAATATACCAAAATCAAAAAATCTGAAAGTTAAAAATCGAAACATTGAAAAATTTGAAATTAAAAAAAAATTGATAATATGAAAAATTCAAAAATCGAGAAATTGAACAACCAAAATATCGAAACATCGGAATCTCGATAAATCGACAAATTGAAAAATTGAAAAATCAAAAACTGAAAAATTGAAAAATCAAAAACTGAAAAATTGAAAAATTTGAAATTAAAAAAAAAATTGATAATATGAAAAATTCAAAAATCGAAAAATTGTACAACCAAAATATCGAAACATCGGAATCTCGATAAATCGACAAATTGAAAAATTGAAAAATCAAAAACTGAAAAATTGAAAAATTTTAAATTAAAAAAAAATATATGAAAAATTCAAAAATCGAGAAATTGAACAACCAAAATATCGAAACATCGGAATCTCGATAAATCGACAAATTGAAAAATTGAAAAATCAAAAACTGAAAAATTGAAAAATTTTAATACCGAAGAATTGAAAAATCAAAAAATTAAAAATTTTCTGAATCGAAAAATTGAAAAATCGGAAAATCTGAAATCGAGAAGTCGAAAAATTGGAATATCAATGAATCAAAACAACAAAAAACTGAAAAATTTAATATTTAAAAATTCGAAAAATTGAAAAATTAAATTATCGAGAAATTGAAAAATTACAAAACTGAAATGACGAAAATTTGGGCAATAGAAATATTGAAAAGTTGAAATATCCAAAGACTGGAAAATAAAAAAATGGAAAAACCGAAAAGTCGAAACATGGAAAAAACGAGAAATGGAACCATCGAAAAATTTAAAAACTGAAACGTCCAGATATAAAGGAATCAATATATCAAATCATCGAAAAATCAAGAAATTGAAAAGTCGAGAAATTGAAAAATAAAAAATTGAGAACTCGAAATAGGTCAAAATCAAAAAATCAAAAAGTTAAAAACTGAAAAATTGAAAAATTAAAAATAAAATTGAAAAACGAAAAATCTAAAATCGAGAAGTCGAAAAATTGGAAGATCAATAAATCAAAACGGGCAAAAATTCAAAAATCTAAAATTCGAAAATTCGAGAAATTGAAAAATCGGGAAGTCGAAAAATCGAAAGATTGAAGAATCAAAATATCGAAACATCGCAAAATAAAAATATCCGAAAAATTGAAGAATAGAAAGACTAAAAGAATCCAAAATTTAAACATCGAAAACTTAAATATCGAAGTTTTCGAAAATCGAAAAGTTAAAAAATTCAAAACCTGATAACTCAAAAATCGAAAAATCGAAGAATTGAAAACTGAAAAATCGAAACATTCAAAAGTCGAGAAATCGAGAAATGGGAAAATCAAAAATCGATAAATCGAGAAATTGTAAAATCAAAAAATTGAAAATAGAAAAGTGAAAAAACTGAAAAAGTATGACAACTTCCAAAACAGAAATGTTGGAAAATTGAGAAAAGTTACTTTTGTGGCATAATAAGAGACACTCGAAAATGAGGTAAAGCGCACTTTTTACTTTTTTGTGGGGAGTGTTGTGGTGCATCAGACTTGAAAAATATAACCAAATAATGAGAAATATTTTTAGCTAAATATCCCGACTCTTTAAAATGACATTGTTAAATCGCGATATAATAACTATTAAACACAAATTGGAAGATTAAGAAAGCAAAAACACATTCGAAATTCCATTTTAATTACTTTTAATAAAAATCATTGCATCGATGTTACAATTGTGGCCACACTGTTTGCTCAATCCAGTCCACGTGTTCTGAAACATTTACAAATTGCATTTTCGTTTTGACTGATCTTCTCCAGTAGTGACTCGTAATTCCCACCAAATCGTGCATACAGTAGACATCATTGTCGACCGCTAAGAGAACTTTGCCTGAAAGTTCCTGAAATTTTTCATAAAATAAACCAAAATAAAAAAATTATAAATTTCATTACTTTGGACTTATCGTAGGGAGGTCGAGTACCGTAATCCACACAGATTTCTTTGGAATTATTATTTGGGTTGTGGTTACATAAGAAAGCAAATTCTTTAACCAAGTCTAGTTGATTACCATAGTTTTCCCAACCAACAGACACGATGCGGGTTTTAAGTCCGGTGTTCAGACATGCTGGGAAAATTTTTCTATCGAGCTTGACTGGTTTTTCTAATTTTAAAACTGCTAGATCGTTTGTAAGAGATTTTTTGGTGTACTCTGGATGTGGTATAAGTTCTAGTACTTTGAACACGTTTTGAGTTTCGGGGTTTGATATTTTATTGGAATTTAGAGCCACAACGGTGGGTGGTCCACTAGAAAAAACTATTTTAGAGAAGAACATTTTTTTCTAATTAATAATTACGAACAGTGAAGGATTGCTTAGAAAAGTTGCAGTAGTTAAAACGTGTTGCTCGCTGATTAAAACACCCGTTGATAACCATTCGTAGTCAGACGCGTCATTCCCATAACCTATGAGTGCCTGGAATGAAAGTTAATAAGAAAAATTGGTCGAAAAAAAATTTAAAAATCGAAAAATTGAAAACTTGTAAAATCGAAATTTGAAAAATCAAGAAAATTGAAAACAAAAAAACTGAAATATCAAAAATTTAGGAATTCCAAAAATTGAAAAATAGAAATATCGAAGAACTGAAAAAAAAACGAGAAATCGAGAAATCGATAAATCTAAAATTTAAAAGATTGACAAATTAAAATATCGCAAAAATTAAACAATTGAAAAACTGTAAAAGCGAGGAAACGAAACACCAAAAAATGGAAGAATTGAAAATTCCAAAGTATAAGATTTACAATCGAAAAGTCAAAAAATCAAAAATTTTAAAAATCGACCAATTGACAAACGAAAAATCGAAATCCAAAAAATTTAAAAGTTGAAATTTCGGAAAATTCAAAAGTCCAGGAATTGAAATTCCCAAAATTAGACGCTGAAAATTGAGAAATCGAGAACTTGAAAAGTGGAGAAATCTAAAAATCGAAAAGTTGAAAAATTTTCAAAACCACAACCGAAATATAAAGAAATCGAAACATTAATAAATCGAAAAACTGAAAATTCAAAAATCGAAAAATTCTAAAAAAAATCAAAGTTGAAACAATAGCAAAAATTGGAAACCTGGAAAATTGGATAATCGAAAAACAGAAAAATCGAGAAATTGAAAAATTCCACAACTGAAATAAGGACAAATTGGTAAATCGAAAAATCAAAAGTCAAAAAGTCGAAAAATCGAAAATCATAAAAATCATAAATAAGTCTAAATTGAAAAGTTAATAATTGAAAAAGTCAAAAATTTAAAAATTCAACAATTTGAGAAAGTGAGAAATCAAAAAAATTAACAAATTTAAAATCGAAAAATTGAAAAACGAAAACTCGAAATCCGAAACGTCGAAAAAGCGAAACATCGAGCACCCGAAACATTCAAATTTTGAAAAATTCAGAAATTCAAAAATAGAAATTCTCAAAATTTAAATGCTGACAGTTGAGAATTCGAAAACTTGAAAAAAGAAGTCTAAAAATTGAAAAGTCAAAAAATTTTAAAAATTAGTAAACTAGGTTGTAAATAAATCGAAATATCAAAACGTCGAAAATTAAAATCTTAAAAAACTGAAAAGTCAAAAATTTAAAAATTCGAAAAATTAAGAAATAGAAATGTCGAAGAATTGAAAAATCAAAACATCGAGGAATCGAGAAATCGAGAAATCAAAAAATCTAAAATTTAAATATCAATTGAAAAATTAAAATAACGATTAATTCAAAAATTCAAAAATCCAAGATATAAAAATCCCAGAATTGAAAAATCAAAACATTCACGGTGAATAATTGGAAAATAGAAAAATCGAAAATTCGAAAAGTGGAAAAAGTTCGAAATATTGAGAAATCAAAATAGGTCCAAATCGAAATATCGACTTGTTTAAAATGGAAAAATTGAAAAATTTAAATTAAAAAAAATCCTCAAGTCGAAAAAGTGAGAAATCAAAAAATTTTACAAATCGAAAAACCGAAAAATTTGACAATGATAAAAATTAAAAATGGAGTCAAAGAATTTAAAAATTGAAAAATTGAAAAACGAAAAATTGAAATGGGAAAAGCCGGAAAATCAAAAGATCGAGTAATCGAAAAATTAAAATTTTAGAAAATTAAAAAATCCAGAACTTGAAATTCCCAAAATTTAAATCCTGAAAAATTGGGAAATCGAAAACTTGAAAAGTAAATAAATGTAAAATAGAAATATAGAAATCAATAATTGAAAACTCAAAAAAATTAAAAATCAAAATTAAAAAAATTCTAAAAATTGGATAAATTAAAAAGTTGAGAAATTGAAAAATCGAAAAATTGAAAAATCTAAGTTTTAACAACCAAAAAATTGAAAAATCAAAATAACGATGAACTGAAAAATCCAATAATTAAAAAATTTCCAAAATTGAAATGCTTAAAAATTGCGAAATAGAAAACGTGAAAAATCAAGAAATGTATTAATCGAAAAGTCGAAGAAATTTAAATCGAATCGAATCGAAAAATTGAAAATGTATAATTAAAAAAATAGATAAATCGAGAAAGTGAGAAATCAAAAAAATTAAAAATCGAAAAACTGAAAAATCAATAATGTAAGATTTAAAAATCCAAAAATTGTAAAATGGAAAAGTGGAAAAATCAAAATTTAAACAATCGCAAAAATTGAAAATTTGGAAAATTGGATAATCGAAAACAGAAAAATCGAGAAATTGAAAAATTCCATAACTGAAATGACGAAAAATTGGGAAATCGAAAAATCAAAAAGCCAAAAAGTCGAAAAATGGAAATCAAAAATCGAAACAGGAAAAGATTGAGCAATCGAGAAATCGAAAAATCGACAAGTTGGAAAATCGAAATATTTAGAAATCGAAATAAGTCAAAATCGAAAAGTTAAAAATTGAAAAATAGAAAAATTTAAAATTGAAAATTCCGATAAACGGAATTAAATGAAAAATTGAAAAATTAAAAAAATTAAAAATCGAAAAATCAAAAACTTTCAATTCGAAAAATTGAAAAAACGAAAAATGGAAATGCGAAAAATTCAGAAATCCAGAATTGAAATTCTCAAAATTGAAATGCTGGAAGTTGAAATCGAAAACTTGACATGTCTGAAAATATCTAAAAATTGAAAAGTCGAAAAATTTAAAAAATCACAAAACTAAGTTATAAATAAATCAAAGTAACAAAAAAATCGACGATTGAATTCTTAAAAAACTGAAAAATCAAAAATTAAAAAATAGAGAAATCCAGAAATCAAAAAAACTAAAATTTAAATAATTCAAAAATTAAAATATCGATAAATTAATGAGTCGAAAAATTGAAAAATCCAAAAATCCAAGATTTAAAAATGGCAAAATTGAAAAATCAAAACAATGAATAATAGGAAAATCGAAAAATCGAAAATCCGAAAAGTGGAAAATCGATTACATTGAGAAATTAGAATAGATCAAAATTGAAAAATAGTCGAGTTTAAAATGGAAAAATTCGAAAATTTAAAACAAAAATTCGAGAAAGTGAGAAATAGAAAAAAAATACAAATCGAAAAAGTTAAAGATTTGAAGATAAAAAGAAATTAAAAATTAAAAATCAAAAAATTAACGATTTTACAAATCGAAAAATTTAAAAAAGGAAAAAGCGAAATTCGAAAAGTTGAAAAATCGAAAGATAAAGAAAAATTAAAATTTGAGAAAATTCAAAAGTCCAGAAACTGAAATGCTGAAAAATTGAGTAATCGAAAACTGGAAAAATCTGAAAATCGAAAAATTTTTAAAATCAAAAACCGAGTTGTAAAAGACTGAAAAATAGAAAATTCAGAAAACTAAAAAATCAAAAATTGAAAAACAGAAGTATCGAAGAATTGAAAAATCAAAAAATTCAGGAATTGAGAAAACGAGAAATCAAGAAATCTAAAATTTAAAAAAATAAAAAATTGAAAAATCGATAAATTAAACAGTCGACAAATTGAAAAACCGAAAAATTTGAAAATCCAAGATTTAAAAATCGAAAAATGGAAAAATCAAAACATTGAATAATGGGAAGATCGAACAATCGAAATATCCAAAAATCAAAATAACGAAAAAGTGAAAAATCCAGCAATTCAAAAATTCCCAATTTTGGGAAAAAAAAATCTGAAAAAGTGCGAAATCGAAAACTTGAAAAATAAAAATGTCGAACAATTTTTAAACCGTAAAACCGAGTTGTAAAGAAATCGAAAAATTGAAAACTCAAAAAACTGAAAAATAAAAGATCTCAGAAATCGAGAAATCGAGAAATGGAGGAATCTATAATTTAAAAAAATTAAAAATTAAAATATGTAGAAAAAGATCAAAAAACAGAAATTGAGAATTCGAATTGAAGCATTTCAACACTGAAACGATGAAAAATTGGGTAATCGAAATATTGAAAAATCGAAAAATCGAAAAATCAAAAACGTGAAAAACTAAAAGTCGAAAAACCGAAGAATTGCAGAATTGAGAACCTGAAAAATCGAAACATTAAAAAGTCGGGAAATTAAAAAATGGAAAATTTAGTAATCAAAAAATCGAAAAATTTGGAAATCGAAAACTTGAAAAATAAAAATGTCGAACAATTTCTAAACCGTAAAACCGAGTTGTAAAGAAATCGAAAAATTGAAAACTCAAAAAACTGAAAAATAAAAGATCTCGGAAATCGAGAAATCGAGAAATGGAAGAATCCATAATTTAACAAAATTAAAAATTAAAATATGTAGAAAAAGATCAAAAAACAGAAATTGAGAATTCGAATTGAAGCATTTCAACACTGAAACGACGAAAAATTGGGTAATCGAAATATTGAAAAATCGAAAACCCGAAAAATCAAAAACCTGAAAAACCAAAAGTCGAAAAACCGAAGAATTGCAAAATTGGGAACCTGAAAAATCGAAACATTAAAATCTCGGGAAATTAAAAAATGGGAAATGTAGAAATCAAAAAATCGAAAAATTTGGAAATCGAAAAATTGAAGAGTTGAAGCACTGATAAATCGTAAAACTGAAAAATTAAAAATTAAAATATTCGATAAGTCGAGAAAGTGATAAATCGGAAAATTTTACAAATCGAAAAACTGAAACATTTGAAAATCAAGAAATTGAAAAATAAAAAATTTAAAAATCGAAAAATCGATAATTTTAAAAATCGAAAAAGTGAAAAACTCGAAATCCGAAATGTCGAAAAATTGAGAGATTGAGCGATTGAAAAATCGAAAAGTTAAAATTTCGGAAAATTCAAATATCCAAATGTTTGAATTTTCAAAATTTAAATGCTGGAAAAATTGAGAAACGAAAACTTGAAAAGTGGGGAAATCTAAAAACCGAAAATTCCAAAAATTTTAAAAAGCACGGAACCGAAATGTAAAGAAATCGAAACATCAAAAAATCAAAAATTGAAAACTCAAGAAACTGAAAAATAAAAAAATTCAAAACTCGAAAATTGAGAAACTGAGAAACAGAGGAGAGATAGAGAAATCTAGAAATAGAATATACTAAAATCTAAAATTTAGGAAAAGATCGAAAAATTCCAAAACTGAAATGACGAAAAATTGCGAAATCTAAATCGATAATTTAAATATTGGAAAAATTGAAATAATAATAAATCTTGAAGAGCTGAAAATTAAAATAATCAGGAAATTGAAATTTTTAAAATTAAAAAAAAAAAATAAAATTTAAAATATCGAAAAATTGACCCCTTCAGAAATCAAAACGTCAAAACAGTCGAAAAATTGAAAAACTGAAAAACTGAGACTTAAAAATCGAGATATTTAAATATCGAAAAAGTAAACAATAGAGAAATCGAAAAATTAAAGAACCAAAATATTGAAAACTTCCAAAACTAAAATATCGAAAAATTTAAAAATGGAGAAAAAAATTGAAAAATCGAACAATTGAAAATTTCCAAAATTGAAACATCGAAAAATTGAATAATCAAATAGTCGAAATATCAAAAATTCAAAAAATTGAAAAATTGAGGTTTTTACCCGAAAAACCAAAAATCGAGAAACCGAAAAATGAAAGAATTCAAAAACTTAAAAATCGAAACATTGAAACGTTAGCCGATAGACTCGATTACAGTACTTCCTTAGCTAACGCTCTGGAAGAAATAAATAGAAATATATAACTTGAATATGAAAAACAATTAATCTACCATAAAGGGAAATTCGTCTGTCTGCAAGCTTTCAGGAATTAGTGAAATTTTTTCAAGTCCACACCGTCTTATTCTTATAGTCTCTGTTGCAGGAGCCACCGGAGGTATAATTTCTTCGTGTACATTCGAATATTCCTTGCATTCTGAAAAATCGATAACAGAAATTTGTTCACAGAGAGCTGGAGTTTTACTTTTTTGACTCATTCTTTCATGTTTATCACTGTCTGCTTTGTTTTCATTATTTGGACAACAGACTACGGGTTGTTGACCTTCGAAACGACATATCTGGGGATAATTAACTCCCTTTCGTAAATTTTCAATAGCTGGTGCACAGTTTGTGAACAGTGTGCATTTTCCTGTAGAGTTTGTATCACGTAGGGTGCAAATATCATCTAAAAATGTTTAATTTTAGTGTTCATTTGAGATATTTCTTACTTACTTTGGCTTGTTTGGCTTGTGGCAGAACGTACGACTTGAAATAGTGCGAAAACACACACAGCTACACACTTCATCTTGTAGTGATAAAAACTAACAAGTAGCTGTATTTAACTGCAATTGAACATGCGAGGGAATCTACACTGGAATAACCCGGACCAGTTTGAGAACCTCGGGTCTTTCGCCTGACCTTCGGGAATTCAATATTTATCAGTGTTTTAGAACGAATTCCGAGGTGGTTATTTTAATCGCAACATTAGTCTCCAAATTTAGATCTCGCACTGGAACACCTTTAGCATTTTCCTTACACAATTCATAAATAACCACCGTTCGAGTTATGCAAATCTAGCGAAATAGCAGGACGTAAATCATCCGTTTCGTCCACCTGAAACGGCATTTGACGATAAACTTCTGCAAAAACAATTATTTAAGCCCACGCTTGAACAAAGACCTTACCATGTTTTCTGGCCAAAGTGTATCACAGCAAACAATAAATCTGGAAAAGCGTAGGTCGCGGCGTGCATGTTAATTTCAAATTTTGGGGAGTTTATCAAGTTGTGACATTCCTTTCATATTTAAATAATGTTTAGATTGGACGCATGTTTTTAAAACGTGACGTATCTTTGTTCGTCAAGGTTGAATTCGTATCAGGTCCGCTATCCCTCAGGAAAATTATTCCGCAGATCTTACGACTCCTTCAGGCATATCCGGGAATTTCACCGGCAGATCGCGCTTATTGCATTGGGGAAAGTTTCGAAAAATTGTTATTTACGACGGGAGGAAGACATTGTGTTCTGGAATGTTCACTTGGTGGATAATTTTGAATAGAAATGAGATCCGTTTTTGTTTCATGGAAGTGTGTAATCAGATTGGAAATGTTGTAAATTGTGGTGGTTAAAATTTCTACAAATACAAGAAAAAACGTGAGGGTAGGGAAATATTGACGGTTTTAAATTAGCATTTTCTAGAAAAGGGACAAGATTGCGGTTTTAACGTAATGGAACATGGAACTAGTTTCGGCTTTACTACAACGGGAAGAAAAGCGGTGAAAAATGCTCATAGAATCGACAAAACGGGCATATAACTTTAGCGAGGTTGGAAAAATGAAGAACAAATTTTACTTGGCAGCAAAACCCGATTTGCTCAAAGCTTTAAAGTTCCTAAACCGTCACAGGTGCTTTAGAGATTTTTCTAAAAGGAATTTAAAACTACTAAATTATTTGCAATGAAAGTCTTCAAGTGCCAATTATATATTAAGAATAAAAAAAAATACTGTTCTACGACGTTGTAGAGCACCAAGTAATAAAACAAACACCGTATTTTAAGCAATTAATTTTTATGTCTTAATAAAACTTGCAAGTCCTCGTAAAACAGTTTAGTAAATTAGAAACTTTTTATATTATCTATCTTGATAATAATAAGTAATCAGTCTCGAGACGGGGTAAGAGGAAATGAGAATTCTCCGTTTGTTCTCGAGGACGCTTCAACTGGAATTATTTTGTTCTCGGTCTATGCATCTCTTCCTCATTAATTACCCATTTCGGCTTTGATTGTCCCCTTCCTTGTTTTATTCCTCCTTATACTATTTTTATCGCTCTTTTTTGTCACATGAATTTTTCTTCCTCTGTTTTCTATTCTTCTGGTCATTCGTATTCTCTAAAAGTTGGAATTCTCAAAATGCTTAATTCGGAGTGTTAAACTCACTTTTTTTGCAACTGAATTCAACATTTGGAAGAAATAATTTGACTACGGGCTACTATTTTGGTAAAAAAAAACCCTCTTTATTTGATCATTTTTACACTTTTCAAGCCTGATCCACCACAACACTCCCCACAAAAAAGTAAAAAACCCGCTTTAAATCGTGTTCAAGTGTTTTGGAATTAGTAATTAGTTTACAAATTCTTTGAGAATCAAGTGTAAGAACAAAACAACAAGATATAGTTCCAGACTTTTGAGAAAATAATTTTTTCACTGGAATTTTAGCGCACGTTTTGTAAACGAAGTCAACATTTAGAAATAATAATTTTACTTTATAAATTCGGTTTATCATTTTAGTGCCTCATTAATAGATCATTTTTATAGTTTTCAAACATAAGCGACCACAATACTCCCCACAAGAAAGTAAAAAATGTGTTTTATATTGTTTTTAAGAGTCTTCATTTTTCAAATCTCATTCTCTTTTTTCATTTGTCATTTCTTCTAATTTCTCATTTCTACTCATTCCTCATTTCGCATTCATTTCTCATTTATCATTTCGTAATTCTCATTCCCTATTTCGCGTTTATAATTTCGCATTTCTTTTATCTCGTTTCACCTTTCTTATTTCCCAATTTTAGTTTCTCATTTGGCATTTCGCGTTTCTTAGTTCTCATTTTTCACATTTCACTTTTCGTTTCGCATTTCCCATTTCCCATTTCGCATTTCGAATTACCAATTTCTCATTTGGTATTTCGTATTCCTATTTTCTCATTTTGGATTAATTTCGCATTTCCAACTTTTTATTTCACATTTTTTAATTTGCTTTTCTTACTTCATACTTCTCATTTCGCATTTCGCGTTTTATAGTTATCATTTTTTACATCCCGTTTCTTATTTCACATTTTGCATTCATTTCGCATTTCGGATTTCTCATTTCGCATTTCCAATTTTTCATTTCGCATTTCTCACTTTTAATTTTTCTAATTTTGCATTTCACGTTTTCTGGTGCTCATTTTTAACAGCTCATTTCCGGTTTCTCATTTTCCGCTCCCCATTTCCCATTTTCTGTTTGGCATTTTGCATTCGTGTTTTCTCATTTCGCATTCATTTCTCATTTCCGATCTTTCATTTGGGCTCTCCATTTCCTCATTTCGCATTTATTATTTCCTATTTTTCGTTTCTCATGTCACACTAATTATGCATTTTATTTTCGCATTTTTCGTTTCGTATTTGTAATCCCTCATTTCCCATTCTAATTCTTCATTTCCCACTCTAATTCCTCATTTCGCATTTATTCATCATTCGGAAATTTCCATTTTCTAATTTCGCGTTTCTTCTTTGTCATTTCCCATTTAACATTTTTTATCGCATTTTTCATTTCTTATTTCCCATTTTTCATTCTCCATTTTCATTTCGTATTTCTATTTTCTCATTTCGCATTTCGCGTTTCCTAGTTCTCAGTTTTCACATTTCACTTTTCGTTTCGCATTTTCCGATTCCCATTTCGCATTTCCAATTACCAATTTCGCATTTCGTATTTCGTATTTCTCCTTTCTCATTTTGCATTCATTTGGCATTTCCGATTTATCATTTCGCATTTCGAAATTTTTATTTCACATTTTTCAATTTGCTTTTCATATTACATACTTCTCATTTCGCATTTCGCGTTTTATAGTTATCATTTTTTACATCCCGTTTCTTATTTCACATTTTGCATTCATTTCGCATTTCGGATTTCTCATTTCGCATTTCCAATTTTTCATTACGCATTTCTCACTTTTAATTTTTCTAATTTTGCATTTCACGTTTTCTGGTGCTCATTTTTAACAGTTCATTTCCGGTTTCTCATTTTCCGCTCCCCATTTCCCATTTCCTGTTTCGCATTTTGCATTACTATTTTCTCATTTCGCATTCATTTCTCATTTCCGATCTTTCATTTGGGCTCTCCATTTCCTCATTTCGCATTTATCATTTCCTATTTTTCGTTTCTCATGTCACACTAATTATGCATTTTATTTTCGCATTTTTCATTTCGTATTTGTAATCCCTCATTTCCCATTCTAATTCTTCATTTCCCACTCTAATTCCTCATTTCGCATTTATTCATCATTCGGAATTTTCCATTTTCTAATTTCGCGTTTCTTCTTTGTCGTTTCCCATTTAACATTTTTTATCGCATTTTTCATTTCTTATTTCCCATTTTTCATTCTCCATTTTCATTTCGTATTTCTATTTTCTCATTTCGCATTTCGCGTTTCCTAGTTCTCATTTTTCACATTTCACTTCTCGTTTCGCATTCCCGTTTCGCATTTCGCATTTCGAATTACCAATTTCGCATTTCGTATTTCGTGTTTTTCCTTTCTCATTTTGCATTCATTTGGCATTTCCGATTTATCATTTCGCATTTCGAAATTTTTATTTCACATTTTTCAATTTGCTTTTCTTATTTCATACTTCTCATTTCACATTTCACGTTTTATAGTTATCATTTTTTACATCCCATTTCTTATTTCATATTTTGCATTCATTTCGCATTTCGGATTTCTCATTTCGCATTTCCAATTTTTCATTACGCATTTCTCATTTTTAATTATTCTAATTTTGCATTTCTGGTGCTCATTTTTAACAGTTCATTTCCGATTTCTCATTTTCCGCTCCCCATTTCCCATTTCCTGTTTCGCATTTTGCATTACTATTTTTTCATTTCGTATTCATTTCTCATTTCCGATCTTTCATTTGGGCTCTCCATTTCCTTATTTCGCATTTATCATTTCCTATTTCGCGTTTATAATTTCGCATTTCTTTTATTTCGTTTCGGCTTTCTTATTGCGCAATTTTAGTTTCTCATTTCGCATTTATCATTTCCTATTTTTCGTTACTCATGTCACACTTATTATGCATTTTACTTTCGTATTTTTAATCCCTCATTTCCCATTCTAATTCCTCATTTCGCATTTATTCATCATTCGGAATTTTCCATTTTCTAGTTTCGCGTTTCTTCTTAGTCATTTCCCATTTGACATTTTTTATCGTATTTTTCAATTCTTATTTCTCCATTTTCATTTCGTATTTCTATTTTCTCATTTTGCATTCATTTGGCATTTACGATTTATCATTTCGCATTTCCAAATTTTTATTTCACATTTTTCAATTTGCTTTTCTTATTTCATACTTCTCATTTCACATTTCACGTTTTCTAGTTCTCATTTTTAACAGCTCATTTCCGGTTTCTCATTTTCCGCTCCCTATTTCCCATTTCCCGTTTCGCATTTTGAATTACTGTTTTCTCATTTCGCATTTCGCATTTCCCATTTCTCAATCCGTATTTTCAGTTTTTCATTTCGCTTTTCTCATTGCGTATTTCGAGTTTCTGATGTTTCATTTTGCATTTCTCATTTCCTATCTTTCATT